GATTGAAGAAAACTGAAGCAACTGTTTCAGCATCTTGTGACTTCATGAGTTTTGCCTCAGCCGCTTTCGTAAAGTAGTCTGCCATAACCAAAATATATTGGTTTTCTCTCTTGGTGGATGGCAGAGAGCCTATAATGTCCATACCTACTCTTTCCCCTGGGAAACTGGTGGGCCTTGGTTGTAAGGGTGCAATGTCTGTGGGTTGAGGCCTTTTGAAACCGCTGCAAGTGGCACAGGTTCGGCAGAAGTCCCGTACATCTGGGGTGAGCAAAGACCACTAGTATCTTTTTCTCGAGGCGTCTAGCATCTTTTCACCCACGTGGCCGAGTTGCTCGTGTAACTCTTGCAGAAGTGTTTGCACTAATGAGCTAGACACTTAGGCGAGTGGACGCCTTCTTGGTACCATAAAACATCCTCCAGGGAGACCATTCGACCATTCTTGCCAGATCTGTCTAACCGCTTTGCTGGCCGACGTCAACTCTTCCGATGTAGGCTTATGCGAGGATGCCAGAAACTTCTCACATATCAGAGACGTATCGGGATCAGTACTCTGAGTATTTCACCGATGATGTCTGGTAGGGTCGCTCAAAAATATGGTGCGCGCCATAGCATCACCAGTTTCTGCTGCAATCGGTCTGCAGAATAGTGCATCCGTATTACCATACTCCTTTCCTTTTCCGTTTTGGACTGTAAAATCACACAGTTGCAGACCTTTTTTGTACCAGAGTGCAACTGAACGATCGATCTCCTTCATGTTTTTAACCAGGTGGGTGCCTGATGGCCGGTTCTAACAATGAACTTCCTCCCTATCGGGTAATGTCTGAAATGTCGAACCATTGAGTAGATAGTGCATAGCTCATATTGCGTTGCACTTTTCTGTCTCATTTTTTTACTGAGCCTTGTACTTGCGTAGGCGATGGCATGTTCCCTTCCTTTTTTGTCCCTTTGTGAGAGCACACCGCCCACGGTCGCGGCGCTCGCAACCATATCCAGTACGAACAGTGGAGCGCTGGATTCGAAGTTCGGCATTATGCTCTTGAATATCTACACCAAAAAAAGGCGAATGCCGTCAAGATAGATTACACAGTGCTTTGGGAATAGGCCAATCAGAGCTGTTTGCATCAGGTGTTGGAAGGTGGCCGCTGTGCTGCAGAGTCCAAAGGGTATCGTTTGAAATTTATAAAGCCCGTTTAGTAATATAAAAGCTGTCTTTTCTCGGTCTGCTTTTACAGCCTCCACCTGCCAATATCCCAATTTCAAGTCTAGGGTAAAGAACCACTGCGACCCATGTGGAGGATCTGGTGAGTCGATGTATAACCGCAGACTACCGTTATCCTTCTTTGCCAGCTTGATCGGTGAGGCCCATAGTGACTTGGACGGCTTTATAACCTCGTCTTGAAGCATCTCTTCAACCAGACTGTTTACTTCTTCCAGCAGAGGTGGTGGAATACGCCTGGGTGGTTACCAGATGGGTCCAGCTTCGTCGGTATTAATCATATGTTTGATGATATTTGTTCGTCCCAGTTTTGCATTCTGCCATGAGAAGCTGCTCGCATACTTAGTTGGGAGCTGACGGAGTTCTTTTCTCTTGTTGTTGGGAGGAGACAGGAAAGAGAAAAGGAAGGCCCACCCGGTCTGGGGGCATAGTGGAGAGGGACATGATGGAAGGGTGACTTTGACCAGTTTGGGGTTCTAGAAGATCGTGGTCACCCGGAGTTTCTGCTGCCTCTTG